ATTAAAAATAATTTACATTTTTTAACATTCAACTCCTCAAAAAATGCCTTATTTTTAAACGGAGAAAATATTTTAAAATCTATCATTTTTTAAAATCAAGTCTTTATTTACAGGACTCATGGTCGAATCTATAAAATTGTTTTTTATTATCTTTTATCATTTTTAAAAATTAAAATTTTTAATTATAATATTTCATATTTTATTAAATTGCAGGTTATAATATTCAAAAATTAAAAATAAATAATAAATTTTTTATATTAACATTTTATTAAATGCTATTAGCTTATGGTACAAGACTTTTGGCTTAGAGGCATTTGTTGAACAGACAGCCTTTATTTTTTTTTTTTCAATTTGATTGGTTTAAATAGAGGAGTGTTACGATTACTTGTTCATTTTATTTAATAAATAAAATATTAGCATTGGTCCTTCAATTGCATTTGATCCTTGGGACCAATTTTGTTTCCAACAAAGTCCTTTCCATCAATTTTTCCATTATTATTCCCTCTTTTTCAAACTATAAACATTTTTTCTTGTTTAATTTTAATTTAAAATATATATACCTTAATATTTATTAAAAAAATTTCATCTTACTTCCTATAATTATTAACTCATGTTCTAGTGTCTGTGAATTTATGACACTCTTCTCACTCATCATAAATTGATATTGAGGATAAAAAAATAATATACTTGTTAATACCTTAAATTTATGAAAAAATTTGTAATTTTTCAATTTTTCTACGCTAACAACTTGCTGCAATCAAAGAGGGGTTAGATTGGAAAAAATTGAATACCACATTTTTATCCTATACTTCCTCAATCTTTAATATAAAGCAAAATTAATCACTGTTGGTGAAAAAAAAAAGCAAAATTAATCAACTTTCGTTTGTTACAAAATATTAGTTATATTCTTAAAATCTATTGACCTCTAATATTTGTGAGTTGCACCAATAGATTTTCAACTTATAATTCTTGATTTTTTTTTTCACCAGTTTTTTACGGGACCTATTAGTAATTTGCTTTCTAGCCTTGATCTTCTATATAATTTGGATCTAATCTTCTTAATTCATCCTCTCTTACCAACTGTTGGACTATCAGCATCATCCATTCGAAAAGGGCATATAAGACTAATTAATCAGGACAAGTCACTCATATTTCACGTTGCTTTTCTTTTCGGGTTTTGACTTGATCAATTACAAGCAAGTGAATAAAAAAGAGTGAGATCAAGGTTGATTTTCCTTGAAGAAATCACGAGGAGGGTCTTGAAGGCGAAGGGTTTTGGGGAAGTTAATTAAAGACAAAATCTTAAACATCATGTGTGTCAACACTATCCAAGGTTGGACATTATTAAAGAAAGTGGTGAAAACTTTAAAATTATCCTTCTAATGAAGTTGTCATGTCAACTTCATCCGGTCCTTAATTATTACAAAGACCTACCAATGGTTTTATAGAGTCGTGAATTCAGTCAAAATTAATCAATGCTTTTAAAATTACCCTCGATGTGATTCATTAATAATTAAACGAGCTTGTTTAGTTAGTTTTAGAAGTTATTTGACTAATTAAGGATATCAAAGCTAGGGACTGCTAGATGAAATTAATATTTTAGATAAAAACTCTTGTATTAAGGATCATGGAGAATGATCTTGTGATAAGGACCTTGGAGGGAAGCAGAGTTGTCCAAATGAAATAGTGCAGCGTTTTGTGAAGCACAAATAATATACTTGTGACCATAATCACATCATAATAGAAGAGAAACACGAATTAAGATAGGGAAAGTGTATCTCTTTTAGTGCCCATGATGTTATGACTCTTGAGTTGTTCGAAAGTTACTGCTGGTATAAACTATGAAGCATGTATATATGTAGTTGTCTTTTTGATAAAAGAAAAAAAAATCTGGATTAATAAATGCCAAGTGGATGGACAGACGACAAGAGAGAGTAGAATAGGGAGAATCTTTTACTACAACTTTCAACTCTCCGCAATACCAACCCGACTGTTCCATTAACAACACAGTCTTGTGCCCTACACGCCCACTTGGCTTTTCCCTGTTTGGGGGTTACAAGGACAGTCACATGTCAAGATGTTAAAAAATCTTCCTAAAATATTCACCAATCTATTCCTCCATTTAATGATTTATATTCATCTTGATGACCCAACTGATCAAACTACATTCCATGACCAATTGCAATGATAGTGGCCAGCTAGTAGAAGAAAACATTGGAGTGGATTCCACATTTATGTATAAAAGGCATTTTTTGATATTGATTTTTGTTCTTAAATATAAAAATGTTTATGATATTTTTAAATAATTGAACAATTTTACCTTAATTATCTTAAAAAGGAGAAGAGATACGAATAGTATGCTTCACCCACTATTGAGATATTGATTGAAATATTATTAGGCTAAAAATGAAGATTATCTTGATTTATGTGCTTTCAGTTAAATGATGAATTTTTATTAGAATGTGGGATTACTAAAGACATTTTATATTTGAGGATTAAGGGGGCAAGAAGAATGTGTTTAGTTTCAACACAAAATATGAATATAAAATTACAAAATATGAATATAAAATTATAGTACTTTGCAATATATAAGAAGAACCGGATTGGAACAACTGAATCAATTAATTTAACCAGAAATTGTCCAAGTAGTCGGTCCAGAAGTGATAGAAAATGAGGGCAAAGGGAATCATCTTTAAGTTGAACTGTCTAACCAAACAAAATTTAGGAGAAACCGGTTGTGAGAACCGGTTGTTCAGTCAGTTCTCCTCTTTTTCTTATCCCTTCTCCACAATTTCATAAAATGACACCTCTTTCTTTAATTTTTTTTTCCCATTCTGGCAAAATATAAGAACAAAAAACTCATCCAAATGGATCCAAAACCTAAGCCTCCTAGCTCTTGCGGCAAATCCCAACCCTAAGCCCTCATGTTTGAACATATTCCTCAATCTCGTACGCTCTTGCTTTAGTCTCTTCTTCAATCTCGTTAATTAGCTCATCATCCTAGTCATGCTTGTAATTGTCTTTTGTTGCGAGTTCCTTCTGTTGTCTTCAACTCTTCATTGCAGTCGTGCAATTGCTCATCCTTAATCATAGTCGGTGTCATCTTAGTCCAAAGAAGGAGGAGGAGGAAGAGTCTAACGACATGAATGAATGAATGAAATCATGCACGAGTGGGGTTGTCACAACTCACCTTTTCTCTTCATAGTGGTTTTTTTTTTTGGTCAAAGGTTTCTTCCCAATGTTTATTTGTTAGTATTTTTGATTCGTTTCTTGTGCCCCGATTTTTGACCTATTGGTTATCCGTTGAATCAATTTGCACATCATAACGATAATCATTTAATAAGATTTATTAGTAATAAATTCCTTAATTTTTTTTTGCATTTATATTTTTTATATATAATATTTAAAATATATTAATTTAATTACAATCGATGCAACCTTGATATGACTCTAATCTGACTTTTGAACCATAAACTAATATTTGGACTAGCTTATCAGCCACTCTAGCTCGAGTAAAATTGGTACTTTGTTTGTTTGATAAACATAACTTTTGGTCTTATATATTTTACCACGTTTTTTTGCTTTTGATTCCTATATCTTTTTTTTAATGTTTAGATCCTTACACTTTTATTTTTTATTATTTTGGATGCTTCTAAGGTCTTTATATTTTGCTCATAAAAAGATCAAAAAATAAAAATAAAAGTATAGGAACTTAAAATATTAAAAAAAGTATAAAGATCAAAAGTAAAACGCGAGTAAATATAGGGATCAAAAATTATATTTATTCTTGTTTATTTGAGGGAATTAATCTAAAATATTTATTGTTTATTTATATTTTTGTAATAAAAAAATGATGCAAGTCCTTACTCGTTAGTGTTATCATGTGATAAAGCTTTACACGTTATACACGTGAGGAAAAAAAAAAATAATTGCCAATAAGAATGAAGAATCACGAACAATGAAATATCATAATTCGAATAATTTTAAGCATTGACGATATTCCTATCGACAGGACAAGATAATCACTTATTTAAAAAACAAAAGCTTTTTGACCCATGTAAACTTCAATTTGTTATGAAAAACTCTTTCTAATTTAAATATATTTCTTTTAATCTTATTATAAAGAACATTTAAAAAAATTATTTAATCTCATTTATAAATAATGATACAGCTTTTTAGGTAATAATTAAAAATATTTTTTAAATTATCCTTCATGAAAAAGAAAATAACATGATATCATTTTATAAATTTATTATATAGGAGTATATTTTACAATTTTACATAATTTTATTCTTTATGTTTTTTCCGTATTGATATTAATGTGGTTGATAAAATAACTTATAAAAAGAACTGGAGGAATAAATATTATCTTCTAATTAATTTCAGTTTAAATATATTCTTTCTATTTAAAAATATAAGGTATTTTTAAAGAGTTAGATGTTAAAAATATAAGTATTTTTAATCTTTTAAGATGTAATTATTATTTTTTTTAAAAATACCCCTCAATTGATGAATAACTTTATATTTATTATAGGGTATTTAATAGAAGTAAATATAAAAAAATAAAGTTATTTGAAAGTAGACAACAATTTTATTGGGAGTAAGATTCAGTTAAAAATATTTTATATTTTTAATGAGGAAGTAAATAATTTAATATCTCTAAAATTTGTCTTTATCATTTTATTTCTTATATTTATTAAAATATTTTTATATTTTAAATGGAAGTGAGGATTGTGTAATGTTATTATATCATAGTAATTGTTATTATCTAACAATATTTCACTTATTTTGTTCTATTGGAAGTTCAATTTTTCAATATTATTATTCTTATGTAAAAAGGAGAGATTCAGAAACTCAGATTCAGAATATCCCATGCGGGAGCGGGACCAACCACGACTATTCGGTCAAAAAAAAAACCAAAAACAAAACCAAAAAAAAAAAAAAGAAAGGGAATTTTTAAAAAAAAAAAAAAAACCATCAAATCAGTGGTCTCTCCGAGCCCGAGTCTCAAGATCGATTCTGCTTCTCTGCGTTTTCTTATCCTCCCTCAGAAGCTCAAGCACACAAGTCTCCTCTTCAATGGAGGCCACAATTAGCCTTCCCAATGTTCATGCGCAACCCAGCGTTTTGCCAGCGAAACCTCTCAGACCTTTCAGTTTCAGAGTTTCGATCAAGCCTCCGCCTCCAGATTTCAATTACAAGTTACAAATTTCGGATGAGTCCAGAGCCACGATTGCTGAGTCTCATCCTGAGTTGCTCGATTTAGCCGACAACGGGAGCTTGCTTTTGATTCAGAAGAAGCAGTTTGGTCCTGTTCCTTCATGGAGGTCAGAATTTGTGGAGCCTGAGGCGATCTGGTTACTCGAACCACTCACATTTCTAAGGAGTCGGCCACGGACGTCGAGCGCGTGGTGCGAGCAGTGAATCCGGATAACGTGGTTGTCGAGCTTTGCAGAAGCAGGCAAGTACACTTCGTTCTTTACAATACGTTCGTAAATTTTAGACTGAAATTTCATTTTGGTCCATCACTATCGATCATGAAAAAGTGGTTCCTGCAAAATTCATTTTTGTATTATTTAAAAAGGTTGATTTTGTTTCGACATCTTGCATTAACATTTTACTCAGTCTTTTGAGGATCCAATATCTTAAAAGCTTAAACCAAAACCATACACTTAATTTATACGAATACCTGAGGGAACCTACTGATACTTATCTCTTCAGCACTAAAAAGATTGATGTTCTTCCAGTATCATACTTGTACTAAGACGGTACCTTTACAATCTTTTGAGCATCCACTACTTTCTAAGATTGAAACAAAATCAAAGCTTCTTGACATGAAAATCGAGAGCTAATATAGAGTATTGTCCGATGATTTATAAGCGGATTGAAAAATGGAGGCGGGAATTCTATTGTCAGAAAAAACGTTGGTAGTTGGAAATGATACGGCAAAGAATTTTTACTCGTGGATTAGCTTAATAGAAATGGTTGATTTTAGGTCTCAACAGGAAATGGTTAATTCGGGCAATTCCCTGGTAAAAACAACATTTTACCTTTCTCTTTTAATTAATGTATATAGGTGCAGTTTTGACGAAATAATAACATAATGCACCACTTTTTGGTTCTGTTTAATTTATCCAGTTTAGTAATAATGTCTAAGTTCTGGGATCACTGTTGAGCTTGTTACTCTGGATTACTATAGAATTTATATTCCTTCTAGATATATAAGAAGTTGCTTAAATGTCAAAATTGTAAGTGGTCAATCCACATCTTATTCTCAGTTGTTGCAGAGTTCATTTCCAGAGCTGGGATCATGTACGCTTCTGCTGATGGCAGCGTTGGAAAACAGTTACAGTCTAATATGTTTCTTGAGTGGGACTGGGTTTTTTGGTGCTGTTGGACGAAGCATAAACTTGGGTAAGCAGTAAGTTAACAAATGTTGGACATGTCTCTACGAAGGAAATTTATCTACTGTTTATCTTATTTTCAGGTGTTCAAACTGCCTTAGCATTACGGTTACTCCTGGCTGCTTTTTCATCAAAGATCTCTTCTGATGTTAACCGCCCTTTTGGTGATGAGGTAATTTCAAAATATGCTACTGAACTATATATATATATATATATATATATATGTAAAGCTCATTTTGACAACAAAATAATATCTCCTTTGTAGTTCCGTGCTGCTCGAAAGGCATCTGAAGAAGTTGGCGCACAAATAGTTTTGGGAGATCGGCCATTGAAATAACTGTATGTGCATGTTAAGTCTTGCAACTATGACAGAAAATAGTAGTTTAAAGGCAATAATTATTTTCAACATTTGGTGTGGTATTTCTGTTTTTTAAAGCACGTGAAAACAATGTGATTCTACATCTAGGAGAGTTGCTTTTTTGTTTATGTTTAAGTTGCGGAATAACAAATATCTTTCCTCATTCTCTGTAATCTGTCTTGCAGCTTCAGAGGGCGTGGAGGGCTTGAAATGGACAGAGAAACTAAGCTTATTGATCTCTGTTGTTCGTGGGATAACATCATCATCGGGCATTTCCTCAAATAAGCTTGAGGTCTTTCTCTCACCAAGATATACAGTCTTAAGTTTTAAAGCAAAAAATCCATTGGCTTTGTCCGTTTTTAAAATAGTCCCCTTTTCCCACTGACCCCTTGGCAAATGAACTCCCATGGTTTTTAGTATTGGCAATTAATATTTTAAAACTTAATCATATGGCATGTGCCCCTTCCATTCATTACTAAGTGAAAAAGAAAATACTGAGAGATGCTAGGAGTTTTGGTTTATTTTGATTCAACAAACGTGCTCTCTCGGTGAAATTTCGCTTAATTTTCATGATGATGGTTTTTTGTATCTTGAGTAAATACCACGGTTTCAAGTTCACATAGCATTTTTGGAAGGAACTGGCTATTTGTCAGACACTGAATAAATCGGAGTGGGTTAATTGCCGAAATTGAGATCTCTGATGGTTGTTTGATTAAAGACCAAAGTTAAATGCTTATTTGCAATTTGGCCGTTTTTAATGATGGACTGGGGAGAGAGAAATTATTTGCAATTTGGCCGTTTTTCAATGATGGACTTGGGGAGAGAGAAAAGGTTGCATTTGACATTCAACATACTTGCTAGCTAACTTCTAACCATTTTTATATAAATTACTCTGCACTTTCGCTGTTGATGTGTTTTACAAATAAATCTCCAAAGAAAGGATGATTTTTTTTTTTTTTTGGCTGTTTGTGGGTATCCCAGCAGGGAATGCCCTGCATGTGGAGGGAGGTGGTGGGGTGGAGGTAGATCTTTCTCTACCAGTTTGCAGTTGCATAGAGTCATGTATATTCATGCAGTGAATTGTTTCTGTACTCTCAGTTTGTTCTATTAAATTTAAGCTAAACCTTCTCAAAACCTAGATGGAAATAATGCTGGTATGAAGCCTTTTTTACCATTTCCTCTGGTTTTAGTATGCTATTTTCCCTCCAAAAAAAAAAAATGAGAACTACATGAAATTTTGTTGAGATTCTAGACGTGGCAGTTAATACTTCAAATTTTTGTGTACTTTGGAGGTGAAAATAAGGAAAAGTAATCATCAATAGTTTAGGACCTTTAGGTTTAAACGGCGAGTCCTGTCTGATATGGTTCTTAGAACAGTTGTAAAAAGTAGAAAACAGTTATAAATTCCGAGCCATGACAGGAGGGACGCAGAATGTTCCCCACCAGATGATAGGATGGTAAAATGCATATTCTCTACATTTTCAAAATAGTGCAGTACAGTGACTAAAAGAGGGATTTGATTGAAAGGGAGATGCCTTATTGACTGTTATGAACCTTATAGAATATATGCCATGCCACTTTTCCCTCTACCCTTCCTTCCCGGAAAAAGATATGTGAAATTTATCTGATAATTAAATTTGCTGAGATCTTCTGAAATGCAGGAAGAACCAAGTTCAGAGGATGAGGGTACATTTCAGCTTTATAAGCAACTGAGTTTTTCCTACCCATCACTGTTGCAGCCTCTTCTACATGAAAGAGATACTGTAAGATTCCCCCCTTTTGTCTCAACTTTCTTCTGTTCCAACGAGGGAAACTTCAATGTCAAATAGTCATATTCCTCCATTGCCTTTCTTCAAAAGCCACTGCTTGCAAAAACACATACAAAATGAAGACACATGGAGGAGTGAACAGGAAAGATTCCTGCCTAGTATTGCTTTTAAGATGAGTGAAATGCCGTTTGGGTTCTTGAAAGATGAATCAAACGTCAATTTAGTTCCTTCCAGATATACTTACTAACATCGAAATTTTTTAAAACCTCATCAATGTGACATTGCTACAGCCTCTTTACCATCAATTCACTTGGCAGAACATACCGATGCGTGTCTAGAAAGATTAAATTCACCTGACGGTTCTTATGTATCAATGAGCTTCCCAAAATGTTATGTAAATCCAATATGGAGATTATCCTCTCTGGAGAAGTGTAAGTTTAATGTAACTTCGCTGCACATGTCTTATATGATGCAAAATGGTGGTTTGTTTTGCAGTACCTTGCATGGTCATTGAAGAGGAGCAAAGCGGTGAATAACTGTAAAAAGGTGGTGGGTTGTAATAGGAAAGGGGCATATGAACGGTGTAGTGTATGCTCTAATATCTGATCAAGGGAATTAAGGTTCAGAGATCTTGTAGGTCAAAACCCTAATAATGGAGGTTCCAGCGGCTGGATCGATGGTCTTCTCAAGAGTTTAGTGAGAGACACAATCATCGGCTTCCTTTTGTGGGCCTTATATGAACAGATAAATGGAGTTTAAAGTTAACATATTTTTCCCCCCTCAATTTATGCGTGTCAAGCCAATCTTCTCTGTATCATTCTAATTTTATGGACAGCGAATATCTTTTTGATCATATATATCTCTGCTTCTTTACCCCTCATTCCTTGCGCAATACTCAGTTGATAATGGATTATGGTTCATAGTATAACTCCATCAAACTCTTTAAGAATAAGATTTAAAAATAACAAGGTAGTATGTGATGATATGATTTCAATATATTGTTAAACTATATTTAATCCAATCTAGCTAAGTCTTTGAGACTAACCCCATCTCCAAGTAAAATTAGGGTTCACAACATCTTCTTATTATAAAACCATAAACTATAAGGGTTGTTTGAAATTATTTTTATTTTATTGTTTTAAAAATTGATGTTTTATAAAAACATGTTTTAAAAATAAAAAATAATAAAAATAAGTGTTTTTTTATTCTCTCTTGTTCTTTAGAATGATAATTTCAAAACATCTGAAAGTTATTTGTATTTTTTTTCAAAATAATATTTTATTTTTGTATTTTTTTAAAATATTTTTGAAAAACACGTTATCAAATAAGTTTTTTTATTCTTTGTTTTGGAGAATTAGAACAAGTTGCTCTAAACAGGCTCACTCCTTTCTTTTTTCTTTGTTTTTTTTTTCTTTTACCTTGTTTTAGATTTTAGTATAGGTAAGAAATATGATTACATATTAAAATTTCTTTGAAACTTCCTAATATATTCTCAACCATTTCTTCTTGTCCTATTTAAAATACGTTTTTAATTAATCCATACAAATTTAAGAAGTTTGATAATACTAGTTAATAGTCTTGAATTTTTCAGAAGTTATCTCCCCTTTTCAAAATTACCCTTATATTAAAATTAATGTATTTCATTAACTTTGTCTTCAACTATCTCTATTATCATTTCGATGGAGGCCAGATTTGGAAGAAAATGTTTAATACTTCGTTGATTCTCTAAAAGGACCTAAATTAATTTCTTCTAAATTTGGGGTGTTATAGTGATTAATGTTGTCTTGGAATTTTAAAGTAAACATAAATATAAATTGTATAAAAAATTCTTTAAAAATAATAATAAAAGGTAACAAAGGGAGTAAGATTTAACACAAGGACCTGAGATACTAGACGTCATGAAAGTTATCCCTATATAGAGTCATACAGGTCACTCAAAAAACATGGCATTAAATATTAAGTTTATCAATACGAATTTAGATTGCTTTATAATCAGCCTAACTCAACTTCATGAGTAAAGTCGGTAATTTAGGGGGCGAATTCAATGAACTAGCCCAAACATGCTAAAAAAATTAAGGTTGGGCTTTAAAAAATTATGGTTATTTTATGTTTAGGCCTATTCAGACTCTTCGAGCCAAGCCCAAATACCTGAATAAAAAAATATTTATTTTTAAAAATATATATAAAATATAATAAATATTAATTAATTGTTTAAGTTTAAGTCATTTTATGGTAAAATCTCATATATTTGAATCCTATACATCATTTAAGTATAAAAAATATATATTTTATATTTTTTTATAAAATAAAACAATTAATTTTAAAGTTAAAAAATTAATTAAATATAATTTTTAAAATAAAATTTGGGTATTCAGGCCACCTAAAGCTTGAAGGAATTTAGGCCGGCCGACTTAGTTATTTGGCCTTTTTTGAGAATCGAGCTTGTTCGAATTGGGCTGAGCCCGAATAGGCTCGACCTGCCCAAATCCCAGCTCTATTCACGAGCAAGATCTTTCATCTCATTTAAAGGACTGTGGGTTCAAATCAACAAAGAAATTTTCAATTCATATTTTCTTAATTTAATTTGAGACTATTAATTTCAAAAAATTAGGACTAGATTAAATGAAAAACAAACTTATCTATGTCATAAAACTAGAAGAAATATAAAAGAGATTCAAGATGAAAGAAATAACAAAGATAATAGAAAATTCGAGATGAATGAAGAGTAACATTCATTTACTTAGGTATCTCAAATATGTAGTCTACAGTTTTTGTTTATAGGCGCTATAACCCTACTCAATAGTTACAAACCTATAATTGATTGAATGACAAGATTAATTCTCATTAATATATAATATATGCTAACAGTTTACGAGTGTTAAACACGAGAAAAAACTCATAAAATCATTCATTAAATAAGTTGTATAGATAAAGGGTCAAGAGTTTGGAGAGTTTATGAACATTCATTATAATATAATATTTATAACAATTTATACTTTTATGTTTATTGTAGATATTTTGGAGTAAATACTTTTATGTTTTATTGTAGATATTTTGGAGTAAAAAAATATCTGCAATAAAAAATAGAATATAAATTGCAGAGAAGATCCATTCTTATGATATGTTCACTTTTCTCTTAACTAAAAAAAAAACATTAAACAGTGACCATTCAATGCCTTCCAACAGTTCAATAGCCCATGGCAATTGGTATGCACAAATCAAATTCTGTGTAGCTCCGCTACTGTTAATTAATAAATAAATATTTAATGAGCAGTAATTTGGTTGAATGGAAAGAATTTGATATCCCTTAAATGTCATGGTAGCACTAGGAAATGGGCTAGCCCATGTCCGTACGGTCTCAAACTAATTAGGGTGGGTCAGTTCTTTTTGTTGGCTATGAATTTTCTAGCCCAATCTGTACCATATGGGTTGAGTGGGTAATACTAGAAGCCCACATTATTTACATCTCACAACTTTTAACAATTTATAAAATTTATTTCTAATCTATATAACCCACTTTAAACCCCCATATTATATAGTTTACATCATATGCCTTTCATTTTCATAAATTAATGCAGTTCTTCATACACAACAAATCACGTTCAAGAAATTAGAAATATATCATCCACCTCATTTTACAATGACAAATTCAAAAATATAATCAGAGTCATAAAAATTGGTTTCTTAACATGTGAGTTAAATGGGTTAATTAGCCTGTGTAACCCAAGGATAAATGGTTCAGGTTGAACATAGCCTATTTTTATTTTGGCTGGCTTTTTTCCAACTCAATTCACTATAAAAAGCGACCTATATATCTTTTTTTTAGACCACAATATTTAAATCTAGGTTATTAAGTAATATCGGATTCCAAATATTCATAAAAAAGATGTTTTTATTTATATAATTATAAAAATTACATATAATTTTTGTTCATGAATTTATCACATTTTGTTAATTAACAATTATAGCTTCAATCAATACATGTAATTAAGACCATTAAATGTAAGGAGGGCAATTTAATTTTATATTGAAAATGCTACATAAGCCTCTCTCAGAGTTGGACGTTTACTCCCTTTCCTATAAAAACTACCTTTATTGTTGGTGCATAAGACCTTAGTTTTTAAAAAGAAAATATGTTTTTTTTTTTTTGGAAACAACAGGCAGAACCTGGTTTTCTTTTTCTTTTTCTCTAATGTACAGTGGTATTCTGAAATATTTGGAATTACATTGAATGGGAAGAGCCCAATGGAATAATAACTCTGTCATACAATATTCTTTAATCGATATTCATTTCAAATTTAATTTCATCTGGCCAATAAATTTCATTTGAAATCTGAATAATTTAATCACTTTTGGAAAAGCAGTTAATGTGTGGGCCCGCCTTCAGTTTGGTAGCCCGTTTTCAGAGCCCAACAAATGTTCTTCATCTTCTGGTCTACGTGTTTTCAGGTATCTGCTTCAAACTGCCAAATGTTTTTCATTTTTTCTTTTTGCTCTTTTTTTTTTCCTTTGATTTTTTTTTTAATCAACTGAGTTTGCTCCAGGTGGCTCAAGTGATTAGTGTGTTAGATAAGTTATTTTACTTTCAAGATCTGATTTCAACCAAAAAGTTCTAGTAAAAACTGAATGGAATATTTTATTTTGGATTATATATAAACAAAGTCAGTAAATCTTTTGTTAATTACTGTCAGTCTCTCATTATTATTCACAGTTAATTGTTAACCGTTAATCATTAATCGGAATTTTAAGTATGCTTTCATTTTATTTGTTGTAATTATAATCACTCATCTATGCATGTTTTTGGTCTGTTAATTGCATTGTAATTGTAACTTCACTTAAAAGGATTCAAAAACAGCACCATCAAATCAATTTATAAATAATTGCAAAACCGTATATATCAAGGCTGTTAAATTTATTTAGCAATATATAGCAGCTCCATTAATGTTTAATTATCACAATCAACTTCAAAAAGACTTCAACATGTCTGCAATTTTTTTAAAAATAATATCTTATATAGTTTTCATTAAAGGTAAAAAATTTGTCTTAAATAGCAGGGTGAAAATGAGAATATTACCAAATCTTCCAAAGAAAGAACCCAAGTAACAAATGGTAAGAGTGAATACATATTGCATTTTTATTCTAGATTTTTTTGCCAATAATTAGTTGGAAAATGAAATATTTTCAAAGCTCAGGCTCAAAATTCGAACTCAATATTAGTTTTTTCAAAAGAAAGGAAAAAAAAAAAAAAGATAAGCCCAACCAGAGACGAGAAAGGAAGAGTTTCTAGAAATTAAAAAAAAAAAAAAGGATAGGTTCTGGGGAAAAAGATACTTTCCATGAAGAAGTAAAAGTGCCAAATGTAAGAACTTGTCTGAACACACCTTTGACCACTGCACTCCTAAGGCATTATAAAAGAAGACAACACCTCTCTGTGATTTCACCCACAGCAACAGTAGTACAGTGGTTTTTCGATCTGTCTGAGAATTCTGGTTTCAGAGACGACAATGGCTGATAATTCTTCACATCAAGTTGACTGCGAGAGGCTCGACATCACTGTCTTGCTCGTGGACGATGATACCTCCACTCTCTTTGTCAACGCTGGTATTCTCAGATCATGGGAATACAAAGGTTCTGTTATATTATTCACTTCGTAAAACTACGCACTCTTCGATTCAATTACGATAGCTTTGACTAACATACACTTGAGTTCATTTCAGGTTCAATATCCTCGCAATCTCGTTCTTCAATTCTTCATCTCTTTTTCCTTCACCCAAAAAAAAAAAAGGAATATTATTGCATATGAACACAAAATTATCTTTCTTCTTGCAAGGTTCTATCTTGTCACATAGTCAAAATTATTGGTAAAGTTATTTGGGAATTGATGATTGTGTTTTGTAACTAAAACCCCTCTTTTGATTCTTCGAGGAGTACATGTCATGTGACTCCTTTAAGGATGACTTTTATTTCATCTCACTTCGATGCTTGCGACTGTAATTAATTACTTCGCTTCAGTTTCTTCGATATTCTCGGATTAAAATAAAATTATGTAATATTTTAAGGTTACAACTTTCTCTGAGGTTAAACAAATAATAGAATAATATATTAAAAGAATTTTTACAAAAAAAAGAAGTGAGAGAATTGGAGTTCAGTAATAATATGCTTTAATAACTGTTCAGATAGATCAATGGGGGTCATTTCTTCTTCTTGCTCTTTTTATGTCTGATTTGTCCTTGCACGTCCTATCTTCTATGACGAGTTGAGGTGAAGACTTCACATTATTTGCATCGCACAAATCGAGATGTCTCACAATTCGGAACACAACCTAAATAATTTAATGATTTTGTTGTTTGCGGATGCAAAGGTCTGAATCATCTGAACAAAGATTTCATTTCCTTGAACTCCAATTTGAGTTTCCTTCTTTTCAAGCACGATTATTCCTTCACAACCTTCTTCCCTTAATGATGATCTCTTTAGATCATCTTCCAATTAAGTTAGATTTTCCAGATCTTTATTCCTTTAATTTGTAAAATATCAAATTGATTTCATATACGTGTGAACGCCGAAGTAAGATTTTCTTGGAAAACAAATCAAAGGAAAAATCACCTTAATCTTTGTACTCTTTTTGCAGCCTATACCTCATTATTCAGCCACAGCCCTGATCCATGTGAACACATTAGAATACATCTAATTAATTTAATTATTATCTGTCCAAGTAATATACTACTGACACACACCTCACCATGAGATAGGGACACATGACATATGTGCGTTGAACTTTTAATACTATCCAGTGGAAAATTATTTAGGGCATTTTTGGTATTGTCAAAAGAATAAAAGGTGAGGGGAAAAAAGGAAAGAGAATTAATGTTTATTATTAGTCAAAAAACATTCTTTTTCTTCTTCTTCTTCTTCTTTAAAAATACAAGTGTCATTTTACATCTCACTTCTTTCTTTCCATTTCATTAGACATTTCATTTCACAATCTCTCTGAAGTATTTATTTTTGCACATGCTATAGAGTACATAGGAGCTCACTCAATTATATTATTAAAGGATTTTCTTTGAAACTTCAGTTGCAACTGCTACAAGTGGTCAAGAAGCATTGAGGACTCTCAGGGAATTCAGAGGCTTCTTCGACATCGTCATCACCGACCTGAACATGCGAGGAATGAATGGACTTGAACTCCAACAGCGTGTCAAACGAGAATTCCATCTTCCTGTCATCAGTAAGCACACACACTCATACAAGCACATATTCCAGAAGAGTACTCATTAACTCTCTCATCATTCTTCATATCCGGAAGAGGCTAACTAGGGTTAGGGTTTATATGTATAGATATGCAAAGCTGCTTAACCTAAACCTGTTAACAAGATATCATATTCAGTATCTGATAAACGAAATGTGTGTGTTTGGATGTGCAGTTATGTCAGCAGATGGGAGGAAGAGTGTGATGTCGAGGAGTCTTGAGCACGGAGCAGCATTTTACATAGTGAAACCAGCACGACGAGAGGACTTCAAAGATGTATGGCAGTATGCTGTGGCGGGAAGGAGAGAGAAACTGAGAGTTGACAATGAAAGAATAATATCAGTGAACGAAGAAGGAGACTCATCGTCATCACCAGGTGGTGGTGAGAAGCAGCTGGGCATTAATATTCCCTCCGCTCAGGATTCTGAAGCGAGAGGGACGAGAAAAGCGCCTAAGCCGAGGAAGAAGTACTGCAAGAGAAAACGTAGTGTGGTTGAGAATGATGAACTCATATACTGTGGTCAAAAGAGGTCCAAGATTTTCTGGACCACTAATCTTCACAATCGCTTCTTGTTGGCCTTGAGACACCTAGGCATGAACAGTGAGTATTAATCAATCTGTTGCAGATCACAATACTGATGGCCTCTACTCTTTTCTTTTCTTTTACTAATTGAAATAATATACCCAAGGTTAATGATCTGGTTGTAATATTTTAAATATTATTTGCTACTTCCCATATGTTTGAATTAATTATGACTATTTTCAAATAGCATGCCTTGGTAGATTTAGTGCAGTAATGCCAAAGCACTCATGTCACTTTTTTTTTTAGAGGTTCGGATGCAAGAATTAACAATATTTAAAACACTTGAGAAAAATTGATGTGAGATGTTAAGATTCCAAAACACCATATCATGGTAACATATATTTTAAAGACTAAAAATGTCAATATCAGATATCGATAATGGTTTTTAATAGTTGAAAACTAATTCTTCTTCCCGATTAAGAGAACATTTTTCAATGATTATTTACCTGGTATAACGTGTTTAATTTGGATTTTTCATCTTTAAATCATACAGAGGCTGTTCCAACGAAGATTCTGGAGATCATGAACGTGCCAGGTTTGACCCGAGAGAACGTCGCCAGTCATTTGCAGGTTTGCTTCTTCAGTAAAAATATAAGTATTCGTTTCAACATTGCATTTTTTTGGGCCCTAATCTAATTCAAAATTTTGAACAATATTGAATTCAAAGAGGCGGAGAACAATTTTAAATTTATCTAAAAATAAAAAACATATAAGTGTGTATATCTAGCTAGGCCTGGGAAGAAACCGGTGATAAAACACAGAGAGAAAGAACAAAATGAACTGATTTGCATAAATGTTGCAGAAATATCGAATGTTTCTGAAGAAAGTTGCAGACAAAGGAATCCTTGAGGGATTATCTGAGAGGGCCTTGAGGTCAAGGTTTGCTATGGGCCTTCCCACAGGTCTCATCAGAGATCTCCAAAAGAGAGTTAGCCGTTTTCGCCTTCTTGACTATAATCATCATCAACCTTACAGTGCTGTGTCTAGGCCTCAGATTCCTCTCAATCCTCCAACAACCAGACCCTCTCTCGCCATTCAACCCAGACTGGGACAACCAAGCCAATATGGGACCAATCATACTCTCAGAAACTTCCAACAATCCCGTTATCATGATCAAGCAAATCATCATCATCGTTCTATCCTAAATGGAGGGTTCATGACTTCTGCAAATGTCCTGACTGCAAATGGTTTGACGAGTAACGTCAACTATGGCCGAACTAACTATGATGATAACAACAACAACCATGGGATGATAGTGCCTTATGGAAGCTCTGGCCTGGAACGAAGTCCTGGGACATATAATAACCTCCATGGAACTCAACTGATGAACAATAATAATACTAACAACCATGGGATCATAGTGCCTTATGGAGGCTCTGGCCTGCAACGAAGTCCTAGCACTTCTAGTAAATGCCATGGAACTCAACTGAACAGCAATGCTGCTCTTGCTGTTGGTGCTTTGAATCGAGTTCAGAATGTTGGTTATAAAGGACATAACAACAACTACGATAACAGCAGCAGCATATTTGGCTTGTTAAATAATGGCAGTGCTTCAAATAATGCAATTGGCCCTTTATCACCCTCGGTTGTGAATGTCCGTGTCGAACCAAGTCGAGCAAACATATCTGCAGGGCTTCCATCTTTGCCTCAGCAGTCAATTAATGGTATTGGGAATGCTGGAGGTGTTAATCAGCATAATACTGTCACTTCAGGGAATCAGAAGGAGGCCGGCCAAATGGATGACCTCAATGAATTTTTCCTCATGATAGACGACATGGTTCTCCTAGACAAGGTATGCCAGTACCAGGATCCTTTACAGTAGGACACAATTAATACTCAATATTATGCATAAGCTTGACTCTTTTGGCTGCAAGAAGCTAGGCGTGGTGTCTTGCAATACTGACTTTGTTGTTTGTTGGTTGTCTCAAATCAGACGGCAGAGAGCCCTCGTGCTGGTGAACTTTCTGGTTCTGAAATTCTTAGCTCCTTCAATGTTGAAGACTACATTGAGCTGGTATGTGTTTGTTGCTTAATTCTCTATCATCAAACCACAAAATAAAAAATAAAAATTCTCTATTATCAATATTTGACTTTTTTCTGCTTTATGGTTGAGTTCCTCCTGTAAGGCTGTAAATGAGTTAATCTCTTAAATATGACATATATATGATCATGTCTCGTAGCTATAGATTAATTAAGTAAACTTAGTACATATATTGATTCAACACTATATCTTGATTGCAACAGTTGCAGGGAGATGGTGATGATCAAGAGAACACCCACACAAGTGAAAGAAGCATTGATGTTCTGTCAGCTGGCAAGTCCTTAACTTGTACCAACGAGAACCCTAATTTGGTTAGTATAACTACCTGTGCGCTTTTCTTGTTTCATGCCCTAGCTTCGAAAACATTTGTGAGTGGAAAAAATAAGGGATGGTAAGATTCAATGACATCTCTTATGGAAGACCCGGCTCTTTCTCTTTCTCTTCTACCAAAGGCTCTTATGTTAGGTTTTCAAAGTATAATAATAAACTTGAATTGACGTGGCATTTTTCATATCGAACAAAATTTGATTTAATAACTATTATAAAATAAAGAAAAATGACTCATAAATTTATGCCGTGAGATTTTAAATTAAAAATGTGACGTCTTTCCAACACTTTTAACTTATTTGTCTTTTTCTTATGTTTACAATAATGATAATTATTTTCATTTGTCCACCTCCCCTAACAATTTTGATGTGATCTCCGAAGGTGCTGAGCAACCATGCATCCACAAACTTGGAAGCCTCGGACATGTCCACGGCGGACAAGGCTAATTCACCAGAAGGAAACTCGGCTACTCCTCAAGAACAGGCAAACCATCTAATAAAAGATCTGTTTGGTATTTAGATCATCAATTATAATGACCCTATAGTAATTTGGAAAATGCTTACTGATCTTATATCGATCTAATCATATGGATTTGGAGTCAACTTTGATGCAGGATTGGGACATGGATCTCATTGAAACGTTGTTCGGTACTGCTTCAGATCCCAGCCAGAAGTGATGACAAAGCTGCTTCTTTAATTTCAAGAATCATGAACCTGATGCAAATCATAGCTCATAATATATCGTAGACTAAATAAATAGGCTTTATTGGGCTTTCTTTTCCCCCAAAAAAAAAAAAGATATAAACCTTCCTTTATATATGTAGTTGAGGTGACAGATATCGTAGCCTTGTGAGTCAACAATGTATAAAACTTGGAGGGGCATGGTGTTATGGAAACCTTAAATACATATATATAATATGACAATGAGCTCCATATATGTGGACCATGAATGAGCCGAAGCAACAGTGTGCGTGTCTCCCTCGCAGTTAGGAAATACCACAATCAACAATTGTTTCTCTAAACATATATACATATATCATGAAGCAATCGAATGACGGGTAAGGAGTGGATTGGGATTTAAGATTTAAGATTCAAGATTATTTCTTGATATAAGAAAGAAAGAGAAAGAAAGAATACATCTTGAAAGTCAATGGATTACGAGCAAGATTTCATTTGTTGAAGTTAGTAATTTGAGTTTGCCATTTGAATCTCTAAAATGAGAAAGAAAGGATTATACTTAACTTGGCGCATCTGGTTCCAAGTATTATTTATCGAATATGGCCAAATCAGATGTATCTCAGAATTCGTTAACAACCATTAACCAGCTAGCTAATGCATCAAACCTCTGATCTCATGGTAAATCATACAAGCAACTAATTCAATTGCCCCCTTTATTTAATTTATTTCGTCCATAATACACCGTTTTCAGTTCATATTTCTCAATAATAAATAAAATATTGGATATACAGTATAAATTATTGGGCGTGGGCGCAATTTTCTGTAGGGAGAGACGAGAGAAGGGGGAGAGAAATTTGAATGAATGCATGCAAATAAATAATATAACAGATAATTCAATAGCCGGTTGGGTTTATTTAGATTAGGCTTAAAATTAAATATTGAAATATATTTAAAAAGTACACATAATCAAATCCGACCCTAATATCTTGGTTTTATTCAGGATGGCCAAATATCTAAGTTGTTAACAATATATATATATATATATATATAGTCAAATGCCAATTTTTTACTTAAAAGATTAAAATTTTTCAAACAACGTAGCATTACAACACATCTTTTTTCTATCTTTGCTCACGTGAGTAAAAATAATAGTATATAAAGTAACTCCTTGAGTTTATTTTTCCTTAATATTTTAAAAATATATTCAAAACAAATAATTATTAAAACATTCAAACTTTATTTAAGAGTATAAAATGTGTGAACTAAGATTCTAGGAGAGATTATGAGTGCTAAGTGAAGATTAAGGTGAAGATTATTTTTATTTTATTAATAATAAAAAAGAATCCAAAGATTCAAGCTTTGCTCATATTTTTTTAAGATTATTCAAGCAGTCTAAATAAGTTCAAAATAAAAAAAATATAAACTTTCAAGCTGCGCTTTGAGATTTTTTGAATTTATTCAAGCTAGTTTTATCAATTGACTGGCAGTAATAAGTAGCATAAGACCATATATTTTTTCGTCTTTGCAAGTCCCCCTCGCTATAGAAATTTGAACGTATTCTGTGGAAGATAAACTCACCGAATTCATTTTTTTAATAAAGAATTCATTTTTAAAATTTGAAAAAAATATTATATTAAGTAATTAAGTAATATGTAATTGCCATGTGAGAAATAAGGAGGAGAAAATTTCAAATGCATAGACAAACCATGACAAAAGAATTAGCGTTATATGACCAAAACACAAAGGATCTACCCTGCAAGAAAAGTAAAGGAAAAATCAATCAAATGAAATCAATCTCATAATTAACTAACAATCCATCCAACTTTTTGGCAAAAAAATATAAATAAAACAACAACTGTATATTTAATTTAAGTTCTATTGGTTATAACTTATAAGAAATAATGGACTGCAATTACATATATGAAAAGTGTTCAGATAATACATATATACATACATATATATACTCCCTTCAGTCCTATTTATAGAACACCTTTTAGAAGTAATTCTTGGTCCAAAATATAGGATACTTTGCCAAAATTAAATTACTTTTTTCCATTTTATCCTTTCTTAATTACCACGAATATATTTAATGTAATTGTATCATTATTTAAAACTATGGTTTGGAAACTCGAACCGGCCGGGTCAACGCGAAACTCGAGGACCTGGTCCCTTTTCCGGTCTAGGTTTATAACTAAATCGGTGTGAGACTGACCCAGTTTAACTCGGTCAACTTGGTATAACCCGGCTAACTCGATGGGTTGACTGGGTTAACCGGGTTATTTTTTTTCAGGCTAAACCCCTAAAACGACGTCATTTTGGGGGCTTTTTTTTTAAGCCTTGCCTTGAAGAAATGAAATGACCATGATGGATATTAGTTTTAGACTTTTAGACTTTTTAATGATTAAAGGGTTATAATTGTAAGGAATTAAGGGTTAATATTTGAAGTGTTATATTTTATTATTGTTGAACTTTTGAGTGGTTGGATTTGATTGACTTTTTTATAATTAATATCTTTTTATTTAAATTATATTATTTCAATCATGACCGGTTTGTCACCGGTTCAACTCCCGGTTGAACCACTAACCAGTGACCCAATATCGTGATCGGTTTAATGATCGATCTGGTTTTACGTACCTTGTTTAAAACTAAGGGTAAAAATAAAAGTACATATGATTTTTTAATAATATCAAGGAAAAAATTAATTATTTTTAAGATACGTAAAATTGTTAAAAGTGTCTTATAATAAAGAATGGAGGGAGTACTCCCTCTGTCCCTATATATAAGAGGTTTTCTAGAATTTTTTTTGTTCCTAAATATAAGAGGTTGTTAATATTTTTTTTACTGAATGAATCATTATATCCTTATTAAATTAAAAAGAGAAAAAAATATGTACTATTATTAATTTACTTTAAAAAATTTTATTTTTTATTTATAATAATTAAGGGTAAAATTAAAATGTTGCTGTGGTTTTTAATCAGATAATCAATTTTTATTAGTTTGTATAATTCAATTAAAAATATCATATATATAGGGACGGAAGGAATATATATTATATGTGTACGTGCGCACGCATGTGCATGAAGAGTGCTACTGATTGCCCAAAAAAATTATCTTTCTTTTCTTTTTTAATTTTTTTTGGCGACACATCATGAATTTTGAATTTTTCACATTATACCTTGATGGAAACATCCACAATTTGCAAATCCATTCAATCTTGCCTTCATTCATACAACAGGCAATCAAATCTAAATGGCATGATTTGGAAAATAATTGTCTGTTCATAAATAGAGATTGGACAAATTCTTAAAATGGACATATCCTCAATTCTGGGGAGAATGTAGCCGTTGGAAAAGATGTCTCACAACTTCATTCTCGTTATATATCCTCAACACAAATACTCTTCTATATAGCAATGAGAGATCATAATCTTTGTAAGATTTCTTCTGCGTTAGCCAAAAAGATACTGTGAAAATCTGTAGGATTCTAAGTATTATTTCCCATCCTTGAAGGATTTGGTATCATGATTTCTTCAGGTCGATGTGCAGCTTGCAGGAATCAAAGAAGAAGATGTCATTCCAATTGCATTTTCTCTCCTTATTTTCCAGCCAATGATCCTCAAAGATTCGCTTATGTTCATCGAATATATGGTGGTAGCAGGGTTGGCAGAATCCTTCAGGTAATTATTAGGCACGTCGTAATTAATTTAAAATATTATTGCTCACATAAAATAGAAAAAAAATATTTGAATAATCTTAGAAAATTCTATATACTATTATGAATCTTATTTCTATTTAAAAAAACTGCAAAATAATTATATTTCAATAGCCTGATAACTGATTGATTTCTGAAATCATAATGTGGCAGCAAATTCCATCAAGTAGGAGGGCAGAAGCAGCAGATGCATTGTATTTTGAAGCAGAGTGTAGGATTGAAGATCCAGTGTGTGGGTGTGTGAAGATTATCTCAGAATTATGGCAACAAATTCACAATACAGAGATTGAGCTTGCCAGAGTCCAAGCTCTTGTTGCTTTGCACAGGTTTCAAATCCCACAAACTGAAGTTATCATGCCATCATCACAAAGCAGCACAGGCCACCTTTTTCAGATTAATTCTTCAACTCCTAATTGATAATCCTTGGTCCGGTTAAAGCTTTTACTACATATTCATCCGAAGCCATTAATTTAATTTCTTGAATTTTTGCTTTTTTTTTTGTCAATGGAATTCAGTATCTCAATAACTTCAAAGAATAATTGAAGAATGCATGGTTTTTCATGGTAGATGGAATAATATTACATTTTTCTATTTAATAACAAAACGTGTTCCATCGTATACGAGTCATATTTTTTTATAATTACTTATGATGCACTTTGTTGTATGTTTTACTTATTCAAGATAGAATTTCTATATAAAAAGTAATTTCCATGTTTTTCTGTTTCATGCCTTAGACTTTTGGATGTAGACACTATAATATTACTTCTATCCTAAATTATAAGATGTTTTTTAAAAAATATTCGACATCTAAAAAAAATGACAAAAAGTTTCATTAATGATAATTTTTTAATATTTTTATTATCTTTTTTTCTTTAATATTTTTCTTGAATGGACTATTAAATGGAATAGTAATTTTAAAATTTTATATTTTTTAAAATAAAATTATAAAGTATATTTAATGAACTTTATACGTATGATTTTATTTAAAAATATTTTATAAATTAAAATAAAAAAATTATTTTTACTTTTAGGTATATTATTCCTTAAAAGTTTGAAAAGACACTGCTTCCTATAAATTAGTTGCAGAATGAGTAATCATTTTGCCTTTTCTTTAATTAGAGTAAAGTCCAAATAATTAATTTTCTTAAAAGTTGGCAATATTAATTATTTCATCAATTCCAAGAGCTAATATTCCACAGCTTCCTTTCCTATTTATGCATTTTCCTCACTCAATTAATATTAAGCTTCTTTTAAAATATATAAAATATTTTTAGATAAAATTATACATGTCGATAAAACTTATTAAATATAATTTATAACTTTATATTTTTTTTCAAAACAAACATATAAATTTTTAAAAATATATTTCATTTAATACTTTATTTATGAAAAAATACTAAAAAGAGAATATATAATGAGAAGGGTAATATTAAAAAAGTATTATTAATAAAAATTTATTTTTATCAAAGTTTTTTATTTTTGGGTTATGGAATCTCTTTCAAAATGCCTTATGAATTTGGATGGGGGTAATATATAACATAAGCATCATCTAAAAGGACAAAATTCTGCTCCATTTTTTAAATGCTTATTGGACATTTTCCTTACTATGTGATGGTTGACTCGTCCTGTAAGAAAGTTTTAAACCTATATTAACGAAGCAATTTAACCACGATTTACCTTTGTATTACGTGACTTTAAATTCACTTTCAGTGCTTTTTAAATTTTAATATGTCAATATTTACAATTTTTTTCACAATCAGTTGATTTTGTTATCAATAATTGGTTTTTAAAATTCATCCCTTATTTCAACTACTAGACGAAAAGTATTTTTGTCTCTAGAAATTTGACGAAAAGCTTTTATTGCTTGAAAAAAAAAAAATCAAGTAGCAAACGATGGGTTAAAGTCACAACAGTGTTTTTATTTTTTGGGGAAAAAACATCAGCTATTTTAAATTCATCAAAATGAGTTGAGTTTTCGTGAACTAATCTGTTTAACTCTCTAATAAAGAAAATTATGCCTCTAACATTTTTCCCTTTCTCAGTTGTGTAACATTATTACTTCCGAGTTTAACATGTGTAACTTACTGTCTAATTTTAAGTATAACAATATAATGAAAAATCAAAGGATAACAATATAAAGTTTTGCTCACTTACCAAATATAAAGTTCTGCTTGACCCAAAAAGAAAAAAAAGAAACAAAAAACAAAAAAAATTTGTATTGACTTAGATAATGGGCTTGTGATGTAACGGGCTTACTAGGCCTCGAGAAAAGCGAACATGCACACATTTGAGCCTAGGAGAAAAAGCCTGTAATTTTTTTTTGAAAAAAATATACCTGCAAATCTTTATAGCTTTATTCAATTTTAAATTAAATCTCTATAATTTATTTTATTTAATTAATTTTTTATAATTTTATCTATTATATATATTAATCTCTGAATATTAAAATTATTAATAAATTATCAAATTTTACAAAATAAAAATATTCTTGGAGTTTGAAAAAAAATTTAATTTAATACTTTTAACTAAAATCAAAAAAATTCTCGGGATTTGACTACTGACTTATTATTTTGTGAGAGATTAGCCTAATACATTAAAGCCAACGAGGAGTGAAAATTATAATATATTTAAGGAATGATGAATTGTTTCTCAATTTGTTATTCATGAATGATGTTTCCTAATAACTAACGAGGAGTGGGGGGTTAGCTCGGCAAAATTGAAGAAATATGGAGGTATTTTATTTTGGAAAAAATAATAATTAAGGATCTCATAAAAATATTAATTATAATTAAAGATCTTGAATTATAAAATCATTAACCTCAATTATAAACCAAAGTTTTTATTTACAATTTAAAACATATAAATTTAAAATTAATAAAAGATATTTCTGAAATTATTATCATGAGTTAGGACTACTATTAATTTTAATTTAATAAAACTAAGAACCACACTTAGGAATAAGTTGTTTCTCATTATAAAACTAAAATTTATTTGTGAAACTTTCGAAAAACATTTATGAATATATAATAATCACTTAAAAATTCTTCAAAATCACTTCTGAATATGATGTTAATTATTTATAAATTTTTATACTTATTAATATATAGGTAAATCATTTGGAAGATAAAAAAAAATACTATTAAAATTATTATTACATGTTTGTATTATTGTTGATCTTGATTGGAAAATTAGAATCCTAAGTATTATAACTTAAGACTACTAAAATTATTATTGTAAGTTATGACTATTGTTAATTCTATTTTTAAGCGTGGATTATGATTTTCATCGAGATTAATAATAGGTTTACAATTTAACGTACGGATTAGAGTTCATTATTGAGATTTAATAATTAATGATTTTTTTGGGTCTTTTATTGTCATTTTCCCTTTTAATTTTTTAATATAAAATGGGGGATATTTTTAAAAAATCAGGGCAATATCCTCTTCCGTTCCCCCCCCCCCCCCCAAAAAAAAAAAGAGGGAGACCGCTGTCTACTCTTGAAAGCGTACGGAGTGAAGACTTTTTCATAGATCCATATCTTGTTTCCTTCGGAAGGAAAGATAGCGAATCAGTGACGGCAAGGCTTCTGCTTGCAAAGGTAGAAACTTGTTTTTGAGTAACTTCTTTCAGATGCCCGAATCCCTGTTTATTCTTTTGCTAAATTGTATTAAAGATCTTATATTTGTCCTGCGTATTCAAAAGCGGCTCTTTCATCTGACAGATTCTTGAATTTTAATCAGAGTTGAATGCTTTTCTTCTGTCTTTGTGTAGATCTGATTACACTCTCTGGGGCTGGGCTGATCTGTTCTGAAAGGTATTTTTTGTGTCTCATCTACCTTATTTTTCTGAATTATGTTATAACTATTTTTTCTCTCTCTATCATGGATTTTGGATAAAGAACAATCATTATCTTTGACGCCGTTTAATGTCGGGTATGGATTTCCATTTCATTTAGGGGAAATAGTGGTTGGTATGGAATGTGGATACGGGGAACGGGCAATTTTATTTGTGGCTAGATTTTCAACCCGTTATTCAAATATTATGCTTGGTTTTCGCATATTATATCTCCCTACTTTAAATGTTTCTTAATTCAACAATTAGGTTTGTTCGATTTTGGAAGGTAGCAGCTTTCTAAAAACTTGTGTTCAGGGAAAATGAGGTCTATCTTTTGCGGAAACTTTGAATATGATGCTCGGCAGTCTGATCTGGAGCGGCTTTTTAGAAGATATGGGAAGGTTGATAGGGTGGATATGAAGTCTGGTAAGCATTTCTTTGGTCTCTATGTGTGCATTCTGAGATAAATATTCTCCTAGTCTGATTTCTAAAGCTCTTTTCCTGAGTAAGTTTTCATGGCTTTCATACTTGGGGTTGAAATTAGGTATTCTGGGTAATGATTGTGGCCTGATGAACCAACGTTAGTTGAATGCTTTCTTTGATGGACGAGCAAGGTTGTTCCATTTGATAATCGTCTGATGTACACATTTTACCGGACCATCCCGATGCTTAGTTCAATCCAAAATTTTACAAGGAAGCAAGATTATTGTTATTTGTGTTATAGTACCATCTTCCTCTCTATAGGATCGATTGATGTGGCATACAGGGTCACAATTGGGGATTGTTTAATTCTAATATAGTTGAGTCTGAATTTTTAAAATATAAAATAAGTTATTATACATTTTCTTGAACGTGTAAATCTACCTCTATAAAGATTAATAATATATCTGCTTTTGGGAAAGAATAAAAACTACATGAATTGCACATCCCGCAAAGAGACATAAAATCACATTGCAACAGTGAGGTGGCGGCATGGATTTTACAATGTTGGCATCATGACTTGTATCCCAGCAAGCTTCACCTGCCAGCCAAGATTCAGTCTGAAGAGTTGGACCTTGATATGCGGCGCGTTGTTGAGCATTTGTGGGGTGTTCAAGAGATATCTTTAAGAAAAAGATAAAAGCATATATTATTTTGAGCATCGACCCCAATACTCAACATTTTCTTTGGCGCAGGATTATTCTGGCATAACCATACTCTTCCAGGCTAATGGATCAGCTTTTCAGAAATATGTTACATGTCTGTGATGCACATCTTCTTTTAAAGAAGATTCAATTTGGTCTCAAGTGGCACTACCATTCCATGTTTTACCTCAGTCACATTTGCCTTCCATTTTTCATGCCTTTTGCCCAGCCTTCAACTTATCAGACATGTTTCAAGGTTGAAACATTGCCAACCTCACTGCAGAGGCAGCGGAATAGATGAAGAAGTCACTCTATTTCCATTGACCTACCATGAGACCTACACTTTTGGATTCTTGTTCTTGACATCAATTTGTTCATTACTCAAGGTCTGTTACTAATTTTTCTAGTCAAATTAGTTTGTAGAAATAGTGAGGTTTACCAAAATTTTAATTACGGGTGAAGTGTAGAGGTGGTTTGTGTACTGCCGAAGGGTGAGTTGCTGCAGTAGAATCAAAGTTTTCTATTACAGATGACTATTCACCCAATTTCTCCTTACTGCTCTACAACTATGGAAAATTGTCTCCTTATCGTAAAAATTTTGCTTGGTCGTAGGGTTTGCCTTCATCTATATGGAAGATGAGAGAGATGCTGAGGATGCAATTCGTGCACTTGATCGGGCAGAATTTGGTCGGAAGGGACGAAGACTTCGTGTGGAATGGACAAAAGTAAGGCATATATTGTTATTGTAAATGAGACCAGTTAATTATAAAGATGTCAACCACCATGTTTAACTAGTTTGTGCTTTGTTGTAGCATGAACGTGGCATTAGAAGGCCTGGTAGTTCAAGAAGATCTTCGGCAAATTCAAGGCCATCAAAGACTTTATTTGTTATTAATTTTGATACATATCACACCAGGACTAGGGATTTGGAGAGGCACTTTGAGCCATATGGCAAGATAGTTAGTGTGAGGATTAGAAGGAATTTTGCATTTGTCCAGTATGAATCATGTGATGATGCCATCAGAGCATTGGAAGCTACAAATATGAGGTATATCTTTCCCTCCTAAACTTGCTTCAACTCAGAAGCTCCTAATTTTATAACCTTGATTTTGCTGGTTAGATGCAAGATATTCTTATTTCTTGTAATTTACTTGTCATTCATGGTAAGATTTTGATGTGTTTAGAAATGTTTGTTTGTCAAGATTATTGTGGCAAATAATTTATGTTTTCGTGGTGGATGGTTCAACTCTTAGGTTTAAGTTTTATTCTGCATTTTTCTCCCTGTATTTTTCTAATTGATTCACTACTGCAATGATACTCATAATGATTTCTGTTGAAATTCTGATGTGTAGCAAGTTACTGGATCGAGTTATCACAGTTGAATATGCTGTAGAGAATGATGATGACAGGAGGAATGCACATAGTCCTGATAGAAGCCATGATCGTCCACGTGATATAAGCTATGATAGAAAGCGATCGCCCAGTCCTTATCACCGAGAAAGAGGCAGCCCTGATTATGGTCGTGGCTCTAGTCCATATAGAAGAGAGAGGAGCAGCCCTGACTATGGTCATAGCCGTAGTCGAAGTTCCCAACAGATTGAGAGAGGTAGCCCTGATTATAATCAGAGGAGCCGTAGTCCATATGGAAGAGAGAGGGATGGTTCTGACCCTGTTCATGGCTCTAGCCATAGTCCTCATCATAAAGAACGGGCCAGAAGTGACCGTGGCAATTCTCACTCCCATAGTCCTAATGGAAGAGAGAGGGTAAGCCCTCAAAATGGCAGTTCTGACCACAGTCCTCTCTATGCAAAGAGGGCTAGCCCTGAAAATGGTCACGGCTCTATAAGTAGTCCTGATGCAAGAGGCGATGGCAGTCCTTACAATGGTGATGAAGGTGACCAAAGTTCCATGCCTGAGCCCAAGGACAACACTATTGATGGTGCTCCTGAAAGCCCCATGAATGAAACATACCGCAGGTTTGTGAATCAAAAAACGTTGATGAGAGTTTGTTTTATCTTAATATATTATTCTTCAACTTTGTTTAATTATGTTGTTTTGCACTTGCATGTTTATCGGCCAAAATGCCAGCCATTCTCCTGCTGCTGAAGAATGATCTATCGGTCTCAGAAGCAAAATCTGAGGTGTGAAAACTGGTTGGCATGCTTTGTCAAAGTTGAACTGAATTTAGCTTCAGGAAAATGATTTAGGGTAGATGTAAGAAAGCACTAGAACTTGTCACTTTCATTGCATGTGCAATCTATTTTACAGTCGAGAAAGATACTTAACTTCCTTAAATTTATGTTTTTGTTATTGGAGTCCTGTGCCTGGAAAAGATTACGCCTATGATACTCATTTTGGGCACAAAATTCATTTATGTTTGTGGTTAATTTAGTCCTCTATCTTCTTCGATTGGCCAGTTCACCTGTCTGCATGAAAGAAGCATGTTAAGTTGAAACACCTGGGAATACGGAATATCTGTAGGCAAATAAAGACGGCACTCGCCACAGAATTTCCGATGCAGAAAATGAGCAGTCCATCTTAACCATTCAAATCATCCTCGCATTATGGGAAATACAATATTCAATTTTAATAAAATTTGGATGCAAGAATATGATGTTGGGTACTTGGGCATGAAGAGACATGGCTAGGGTCCAGAGCTAAGAGACCGTCCATAAACATTAGGAAACCAGGTGGGTAAAGTTAAGGGCCGGACCGGGCCCTCCCTGTTGCTTTCGCTTTCCTCCAGATGACTTTATGTTCTCTTCGGTCCTACCATTTTTTATAAGGAAAAAAAATTGGGACGGATAAGAGATTGGAAATCAAGTTCCCAGGTTTAAAAATCATATAACAAGAGACATTTTTCTATTAAAAAATAATAAAATTTTTAATTTCTCAAGTTTATTTTAATTATTGATTTCGTCCCTCCAACTTAATTTTTATCAAATTGATTTCTAAAACCTTGCATCAGTTGTTAAAGTAAAAAATAAATAAATAAATAATATTGCAAGACAAATTAGGTGAAAAAACTAAAATTGGAAAATCAAAGTGAAGAAAGAAAGCAAGGAAGAAATTAAATGTCCAATGCCACAATATGATTTTAGTTGCTTTGAAATTGATCTTTTATGATATATTTCTGTAAATACAATTGGGCCTCACGGAGATTGAAGGGAGATCACAATTTATGTGAAAATTGAAGATCCACCATAAAACTTCTGTGTTTGTTTCCTAATTAATGACGAGACCATGTTAAAAGCGTACATTCAATTGTAAAAGAACCAAGCAATAAGTCTTCTTCCTAAGCTTTGCTGTCCTCGTCCAATCCAAAATCACTTCAGTCTAGAGGAGAGGACGAGCCTGGGGTGATTGCTGTGCTGACAATGCAACGCAGGCATTTCGTCTTCTCACTGATATACAAGGTTATTTATACCAGGGATAGGAGCTCTTGCTCTTATGCTTAATTTTCTGTAATTGTGTTTTCTTCTCCAGCCTCGGCCTGCGACTGTTAATGCCCCCCCCCCCCCCCAAAAAAAAAAAAAAAAAAACACAAAAGAAACGGAATTCTTATAAATCCTACCTGACATATCACCGTCAAAACTGTCCCGTAAAACGGGGCATTGGCTAGATGGGACCCATTTTCCGACAAGACAACCACCGTAAGATTCTGGGAGAGCTGCGTCCCCACGTGACACGCGTCGTAATCCTGTTGCAACGCCGGTGTCTCCCAACGACCAGTTACAGCCACAAGCACGGCCCTCCCTTGCTCGTCTCGTTTCATTCGGCCCCCTCAGTTTCCCGATAGGTGTCCCTCCCTTCGCATGCATTTTTTCGTCCTCCCTGCTTCAACATTTCTATGGTTCTGCCTCCAATCAATCATAGCTAATAATTGATCAATCAAAATATCAGAACTTTACTTGACAGTCTGGAGGATTATGGATGGTGAGGTGTTAAAAACATTTCTCTTCAAATATTAATTTACAATTATACTGTTATAAATATAGAATAAAAAATATAATTATTAATCCCTATAATTTTATTATATTTTATTTTTAGTCACTGCAAAATTTTTTTTTATTGTTTTCATTTCTTATAGAAACTAAAATTACTAAAAATATTAAAATTACAGGGACCTAAGTAATAAATATCATTTAACCTTATTAAAATTGTAAAAACTAAAAACACAAAGGAAAATTATATAAATTAAAAACAAAATTCGATAAACTTGTAAAGATTGATGATTGTATTTTCTCAATATAAAAACAAATAGAGTTTTAGTTGTAAACATCATGAGTGATTTATAAAATTTAAATAATGAGATTCCTAAAACCGAAATTCATTTGTTTGTAATTGTTTAAATAAACATTTACAACTTATATTTTATTAAAACTTTTTTGAAACTTTCAAACTTTTTTGAGAGTTAATTATAATTAAATTGATTTTTGAGATTTTAGTGTCATCCCTTAATCATATTTCAAAACAAAAGAATTTTTCTTTAAATGCCACCATGCTTTACCTTAATCATCAATTTGATCCCTCGAATTTAATTTTTATAAATTTAGTTCTTCATATTTTCTTAAATTATTAGATGAGTCTTTTTAGTTTTGAAATACAAAATGACTTTTAAAATAATCAAATGTGTAAACTGCCCGCGCGCACACACATATAACTAAATAAAGATAAATAACCTACAAATTAATTTAATTTTTATCAATATAATCTCTTGTATATATTATGTTTTGTTCTCTTGTTTTTTTCATAACTTTAGAGTTTGTTTTTTCTAACTAAATAATTATACTTCTTTTCATTAATTTATATAGCTGTCATAAATATTTGTTATCTATGTTAGTAAATTTTAACAGGGTTACTTTCTTTTTAAATAATAAGAACTAAATTGATAATTAATGTAAATTTAAATGATTAAATTGATAAAAATAAAATTTAAAGAATTAAATTGATAATTAAAATAAATTTAAAAGACTAAAGGCACATTATCCAAAAAAATGTGAATATAACTAATCTCCTTCACCGTGTGTGTGTGTGTGTTTGTTTTATTTTTCTCTCGGGTGAGCGATGTTTAGTGACCCAAAGGATGACGACAAACATCTAACTAATGTATAATGAGCCATGTTTTACTGTAAATTTATTTTTCTAAATAAATTTACATTTTAATATATACTATTATACTGTTGCACTTTAAAACATTAATTTATGAGTTCATTATTCAATATATACTTTTTTTGACAGGAAAATGATAGTTAGGGATCCCATATAAGGCTATTAATTATAATCAGGAATTCTAAATTATTAAAATCTTAATAGTAAATCATGATCCTTATTTAAAATTAAAAACATATATAAATTTACAAAATCACCCTCTATTTGAAAAATAAAGAAATGACAACATTGAAATCATAATTAGGAGATTAAAATATTAATTTGAGTTAAAAAATTAAGGAATAATAGTTGTTAATAGATTATTTTTTTAGCATAATACTAAAATTTACTTTTAAAACTTTTCAAGAGTACTTTGTGAATATATAATAGTAACTTGAGGAATTACTGAAGTCACTTTTAAATACGAACTTAATTACTTGTGAATTTTATACTTGTTAATGTATAGGTAGACCATTTGAAGAATAAAGAAATGGTAATGTTGAGATTACTATCATGGATGAAAATATTATTAATCTTAGTTGAAAAATCAATAAACAATAATTGAAAATGAATTGTTTCTCAATATAAAATTAAAATTCACTTTTAAAAATTTCTAAAAACACTTGTAAATATATAATAGTTACTTAAAAATGTTTTAAAGTCACCCTAAGATGCATTTTAAACTGGGGCTAAAGTGCATTTTTTTCTATATTTTTCTTCTAGAAACACCAGATTTTAGACTAATAGGTGATATATTTTTCCCTTAAATCACTTTTTAGAGGAAAAAAAATTTTCCTCTATTAGTGATTTGTTAACTCTGTTATTTTCTATTGACATGACATGTCTTTTGGTGCTAACTTGTTCCTAAATTTTTTTAAGAGTGTTAGGCACCCTAAAATTTTGTTAAAATAAAATTTAATAAATATTAGTAAAATATTTAATATTTAATTTTAAATATTATTATTTATAAATATTCATAAAATATTTTTTAAATGTTAATATTGTTTGAGCTATTAATATTTAAAAAACAAGTACAAATGTTTGAAAAACTTTTTCAAGCAATTAGGACATTTATAGATGACTTGTAAATTCAAGGGGAAAAAAATAGATGACTTGTAAATTGTATATGAAGATTTATAAATAATAACAATAACAATAATATTTTTAAATAAATTATAGAAAAAAAATTAATAATAATCAAGTCATTTAAATATTTTAGGTTATTTTTTATAATTTTTTAGTTAACTAATGATCTTCCTCTAAATTATACCATCCAAATTTAATATTTTAATATTTTATAATTTTAATTATGTTAAAAAAAAAGGAAATGAATTTTCACATAAATGGATAAAATTAATATTATTTTGTTAAATTTGTAACTCATTTTCTTAAATTTAAATTTGAAAAAATATTACATTATATAAAAATATTAATTAAAAACAAGTGGCACTTTAGTTTTAAATATCTATTAATTTGATCATTAGTTGAATTAAAAAATTATAGAGAATGATCTATAAAATTTAAGAAATTTAATCAATATTAATTTTCTTAAAAGATCATTTTATTAATAAATATTAAATTTTTTAAAAATAATTATTAAATGTTATTTAAACAAAACTTTAGATGTCCAATGCTTTTAAAAAAAAAAGTTTAGAGATAAATTAGTATCAAAGGATATGTCATGCTAGCAGAAAATGACAGAGCTAATGGATTACTAATGAAGGGAGATTTTTGCTCTTCTAAAAAATGGTTTAGAGGGAAAAATGCTCCTCTTATTAGTATAGAAAATTCAGTACTCCTCAATTGAAAGAATATGACAAAAAAAATACACTTTAACACTTTAAACTTTATTTTTTTAATTCTAAGTAAGGATCATGGTCCATTATTAAAATTTTAATAATTTAATATTCCTAGTTGTAATTAATGACCTTATATTAGGCTTCCCTAACTGTCATTGTTGTTTTTTGGCCAGCACATCAGCATTTGATACTAAAATTAGAGTATATCTTTCTTTTATCATTTAAATATTTTAAGCTCTGCTTAATTTATTTTAACTGCTTTTTCAATAAGTTTATTTGAAAAAATAGCATTCATTTAGTAAAAATTATTTACTGGAAAAATATTTGATAAAGAATTTGTCTAAACTTTTTCATATTTCATAAAAAAAAAAATGTATGCAAGATGTATATTGGACCAATAAAATGGGAGGGATACATTTCGTCTCAACTTTGAATTGATTTTTCCGCACGCAAACTTTTCTGATAA